ACTGAATCATCGGGTCAACCCGATCAAACTCGGGTTAACCTAATTCAACTGAAGCATCTGGCTAACTCGACTTAACTTGACTTAATCCCATGTCATGGTCAGCATGATCTAATTCGAGCTAATCCAAAACTAACTCAACAAATTGAGATAATCTGACTTAACTCAGTCTAACCCAAAGATAACCCTTAGGTTAATCAAGCTTAAAACTCAGATCAACCCAACTTAAAACTCAACTTAAAACTCGAATTAAATATCAACTTCATTTTAATTAAGGATTGATTTAAGTATAAAATAACTTAGAATTAATAAGTCAAGTTTAAGTTAAACTTTATCAAAGTCTAATTTAACTTGATTTAGCCTAGGATATTTAACTTGGATCAGTCCAGTTTAAACTGGTTTGCTTCTAAGTTAATTTTACTTGGTTTAATTTGACTTAGCATAAGTCAATTTAAGTTTAGTATAATTAGTCTAATTCCGATTAAACTAGATCAATGTGGGACAATCCTGTTAAACTTAAGTCGACTTAAATAAGTTTGAAGATAATCAGAGGGAAAATCAACCTGACTTAGGTAAACTTAGATTATTTGGAGTTTTATCTTCAATCAATTTAAACCACTCTAGACATAGATGCCTGAAGGCTGAGAAGGGGTTTTTATTCAAAAACAAAAGCATACTTAACCTCAGTAGGAACAGTTTTGGCTAAAGTGCCAAACAAATCTAAACGACATAAAATTCACCTTAAAAGGCATTAACACTTAAACTTGAACCATAAAATGAAGCTAGATTTGAGAAGGTATTTTGGAAGAGGCAACCCATGGCTGCTAACAAACTACCTTCCAATTAATCATGACTTATCAAACAACAAACCCCAATGACCCAAGATGATGTAACCATGGGATTTGGACAGGGTCATTCTAAACAACATAAATGAAAAAAATAATAATAAATTTAATCTGCTAAGAAGTCTTAAGCAACCTAAAATTTTCAACTCCTAAAATCTGAAAAAGAAATTAAAACTTAGATGAAACTTTAATGAACAAAGATCACCGAACCCAACTTTAACCCAACCTATCCGGGTTTACGAAGATCTCTTAGACGGTAACATTTGTGGTTGCTGACAGAAGTATTATGGTCAACGTAGGTTTAACCACCTCTCAAACTAAGTAAACCAAGGTACTCTGATGATTCCAGGACAACGGAGTCATAGACATCTTGACCAGGTCATCTTAAAATTTAAATTAACTAAAATCAACAAATAAAAATAAAATGTTTCATACTAATTCTGTTTGCAGGGCTGTTGAAGATAAAAGGCGGACATCTCCCTAAATTTACTTTGCATGTTATTAGGATGTATTAACTCTGTTTAGCAGAAACGAACATGCAAAACCTGAAGCAATAGGATGAACCTCAACTAAACTATCAATTACACAACAAAACTATCTTTAGGATAGAATTTTGACCGTTCTTTCCTTGACAACTACCTTTGATTTCTTTGAGAACAAATCTTAATCTTAATCAAAAGTTTTCTTAAGTAGTATTGACTACTTGGATCAGTCGAGTTCAACCTGGTACACGTTGTGCTTATGGGTCGTCCTTGGTGCGCCCTACGGGGCCACATCACTTCTTCCATCCTCTGTGAGATGTCTTTGTTATCCGTGTTGACATACTTTCAATGTATATAAATATAAATATAGGCGTTAGTAATTATTACTCGGCCTCATAATTGCAGGATTGAGCATTTATATAACATTTGGCGGACGAGTTAAAATTTTTGTTGAATGATAATGCACTTGTATAGAACACATATCCAAAAGATAGATCCTTATTATGAAACAACATCAATATGAACAATACGAGGCTTTAAATTCTTTCCTATGATATGTTATCTAAGTGGAATAAAAATGATGAATTAGAATGCCTTTCTTGTATGGATAAAATTAAAAAAAATAATTCAAAAAAAAAAAAAAGAAAAGAATAGCCAATTTGATTTCTATAGATAAAATTAAAAAAAATAATTCAAAAAAAAAAAAAAGAAGAAAAGAATAGCCAATTTGATTTCTATAGATGAATTTGTCTACTCATCATTTTCCTAGACTTCATAACAAGGATGTCACCTGTGCATCCCTATTAACAACATTATTATACAGAAAGATATATAGTACAAAGCTAATTATAATACATGCAAGGTTATCATTAAGTACATCGCATGTCTGTACAACAATGTTGTTACAAGTTCGGTAGAAATATCCCTACTAAGTCTATGAATAATTAGTTATCGAGCACGTCATCCTGGTCTTTTCTTTCTTCGTAAACATATACGTTAGTTATTGGTCAGGCAATTCCAACTTTAACACCTAACGGTTGGCGCAGACTTTGTCTGACACAACTGTGGGGTATATTTGTAAAGGCTCAGCTTCAGGAAGACGGAAATTTAAAATATAGAAAATAATTTCCGACCAGAATTCCGTGAAGGAACAAAATACGTCAGAAGTGTTAAGCGATTAATATAATTAAAACATAAGAAAATTAAAAAAAGAAGCCGAAAAAAGAAGACACAAATTACAAGGCAGTTTGGGGCGGTTTATAAATGCGGCAGTGTTTTTGAAAACGCCGTCTAGCCGTTTGGTTTCCGCGTTTTTAAAACCGCTGTCAGCCGCATTTGAGTTTTTTTACGCTAAATGCCGTAGGCCCGAGAGCTGTGTTTTAGGATAAGTTGTTTATCCTGAAACGCACAAGTTGCCGCAAACAGACCCGTCATGTATTTTATTTTTATAATTTAACATGTAATGCTTTGTTTTAATGTTAATATTGGGTGATTAAGTATATATAGTAATTATGTATAAACAATTATTTTTTTGATCATTGACGATTTCTATCCACCTCTAATGCGAAAAAGAGGGTGTCAAGATTTGTTGATTCATTCTTATGGCCACATGCATGTCTTTTTGCCTCAATGAAAAGAATGAGTTTTTCATTAATCAAATAAGAGAAAGGAGTCCCACAATTTCTTCTAAATTCAATTCAATTTCCTTGCAATATTTAAATCTATTTTTCGTAGCAAAAATGAAATCCTTTTCAAACAACGGCTGCAATAATAATAAGATTTTTATTATTTCTATCTTAATTTGCAATTTATTTAATCACCCTCATTTACCTTTAAAACGTTTGAAAGCCAGTAAATACTATCATTGCAAATGTTAATTACTTCACTTAATTTTGAGACTAATTAAGTTGTGATTATCTTGTATAATCAGCACATATTTACTAAATATTAGCCAAAAAAAAAAAAAAATAGGAGAACTAAAACATAAAAAAATTACAGTTTGATTTTCATTTTTAACAGAAAATCTGTTAAAAGCTTCCATTAAAACTCATCACAGACTCAATAATGGCGTAGTGGTTGTGATCTCTTCGGATCTCTATAGCTACAATTTCTACCTACAACTTTGCCCAAAAATTCAAGGCAAAAATTCCGCTAGAAATTATGACTTCAATTTTTTTCAGGTTTGCCCAATTAAAATTTGCGACAAATTAATCGATATGTTTTATTGACCATTTACATTACATAATATTCCATCAAAACAATTTTTTTTTTTTTGTGAATATATTTGCTATTAGAAAGTTCCTATATCAATATTTTTGTTGGTGAATATTTACAGAAAAATTATTACATCAGGACTCCGTATAGCGAGTTGTTTGTGAAATCCAATCTCCAACTGAAACGTGAAATCCAAGTGCCCATCTCAATAAAAAATAAAAGAAAAAATGAAAACGCACGATCCGGCTCGACTGTGTTATAGGAATATTCCTTTCGCGTTATTCTGAATATTTTTCGCGTTATTCATGCATTATTGTGTGTTATTGAGGTGATTTTGAAATATTATTGTTCTTATATTATTGTTCTTTAAACAATAATATTAATTATAAATGAATAATGCGAAAAATATTATTTCAATAACACATGAATAACATACCAATAACACATTAAAAACACGCAACCCGGCTCGACCGTGTTATAGGAATATTCCCTTCATATTCCCCACGTGTTATGCTGCAGGATTTTGAATATTTTTCACGTTATTCATGTGTTATTAGTGTGTTATTAGTGTGTTATTGTTGTGTTATTCATGAATAACACACCAATAACACATTAAAAATGTGAAAAATATTTACAGACATGAATAACACATCAATAACACTCGAATAACACATGAATAATGCGAAAAATATTCATAATAATGCGAAGAAATATTCGGTTGAGCCGGGTCACGCATTTTCAGTATTATTTTCATTTTTTATGCAGTTGAGCACCGACTTTCCACGTGTTAATCCGAGATTGGACTCCGCAAGCAGCTCTAGAGGTGTAGTCCTGATGTAATAATTTTTCACATTTAAGTGCCAAAAACGCAATTTTCGATTGATTCAGCCTTTTCTTACAATTATTTATTTGAAGCTGATTATTTTTCTATAATGTCCCTAATAATTCCCTTAGATCAAATAGAGTCATGTTCTCTGTTTATATGATTTAACACATGCATAATAAAATGAAATAAACATTTGAAAAGTAGTACATTGCTTAACCTACAATCTCGCTGTCTAAGAAAATGGAGACTAGTTGAAGCTATGTATAACATGACTATTTAATTAGAACACATCTTTGACTCCAACTGAATTATCACATTTGTATTTAAAATGAAAAAAACAATGTGTAAAAAGTGTTATATTTTAATAATTAGATATTAAATAATTATATTAAATTATGCTCTAAACATACGTACTTTTGAAACTGCCAGAGACCGATGGTCAACTAAGAACTATTCTTCAATGATCAAATTTAAATTCACTTTTTAATTATTATTTAAGAAATAAATAAAATATAGAATTTTAATAATTACGTCATATATTTTTTTGTCACAATGCATTGGCACTTCTATAAATCTAGCTTTGACAGAACCAGAAATGGTAAGGCTAATTAACTTCTCTTCTGCTAACGCTTAGTTATGTCGCCGGAGAGCTTTTCCTTGACGGTGGTGGTTGACGACGGTGAGGTACCGAAAGGGCGGGCCGAGGGGGCCGTGAGGTCGGAGAGTTGGGCCGGGTCCGGGTCGGGAGAAGCCAAAGGGGTGTTTCTAACGTGGCGGGATCTTAGGGTGACTACTTCGACCGTTAATGGCAAATCTACTGCTATTCTTGCGGGCCTGACGGGTTTCGCCCGGCCCGGCGAAGTTCTTGCAATCATGGGCCCATCGGGTTGCGGGAAGTCTACTTTGCTCGATGCTCTTGCAGGTAACCATTGTCGGAAGAATTATAAAATGTTTTTTGGCTTTTAAAACTACTATTTTTTATTATTTTTGTTCAGAAATATAAAAGTGTATAAAATTAATTTCTCTTCTAGAGATTTTGAGGGAATTATTCTTATTTAAATAAAACTGAGTATTTAAAAGAAGTAAAATCCCAAATTATTTCAATAAGAAAAAAAATTTCATATATTCTAATACTTTATTATTATTTCAGTTGTAATTTAATATGTTATATAAATTATTATTATTAATATATATATAAACATTTAATGTGGAATAATTTAATGTGGAATAATTTAATGTGAGTCTCCTTTATCCATTACATAGCGGTGTTTTTTGGACTCCTTGCTCATTGTTACAGTTTTATTATTATATAAATAATTTATAATATTATATCTTTATAGGCTTATAGGCTATAGCTACAACGCTTATACTACCGGCAAGCAAAGTTGCGCCAGAAAATTTGGAATTGGAGTAAAACATATACATAGGGACTTCGGCACAATATGATTATTTTGATATATAATCAATATATTATGTTGTAACGAAGTGTGCATATATGTTATAATTTTGAAAAACGTAATGGATATTGAACGGATGAAAGAAGAGGTTGAAGTTTTAAGGGTTGAATCAGGGTTGAGGAGAGCTCAACAATGACATAATGAATCCTAAATTTATTTTAAAATGACATAAATTATGTAATAATAGCATAATTGATACTTGAAAATTTTGTTGCTAGGAATGATATAACATAATAAAATCATTTTTGCCGAATTAATTCACACCTCTTCTAGAGATTTTGAGCGAATTATTCTTATTTAAATAAAACTGAGTATTTAAAAGAAGTAAAATCCCAAATTATTTCAATAAGAAAAAAAATTTCATATATTCTAATACTTTATTATTATTTCAGTTGTAATTTAATATGTTATATAAATTATTATTTTTGTTATATATAAAAATATTTAATGTGGAATAATTTACATTGTTATTAATGTGGAATAATTTAATGTGAGTCTCGTTTATCCATTACATTGCGGTGTTTTTTGGACTCCTTACTCACTGTTACAGTTTTATTATTATATAAATAATTTATAATATTATATCTTTATAGGCTTATAGGCTATAGCTACAACACTTATACAACCGGCAAGCAAAGTTGCGCCAGAAAATTTCGGATTGAAGTAAGACTACATATCTAATCAATATACTATATTGTATTGAAGTCTGCATATATTTGAATTTCGCACCTAATAATTTATCATGTTAGATATTGAAAGGGGGGCGCGAGTGGGTGCATGTTGGACTGGAAAGCAGTCCCAGTTCTTCGATTCAGTGGTTGAACCGATAGTTCGACCATTTTTAGAATGACCCAATACGGGATATTGATTTTAACCGAGCCGGACATAACTTGGACCTAGTTCGCAGTCAAACTGGCAGGTCCGGTCCGGTTCATTTTTTAAAACCTCGATATAAACTGAAAAACATCTTTATTTGAAGAAATTATTTTGTCTGTTGTCCACAGATTGACCCAGACAATGGCGCGAACCCAACCACGTGAAATGCACTATGACATGGCTGGATTCATTAAAAAAAAAAATAGAAATTATTTTGTCTGTTGTCCACAGATTGACCCATACAATGGCGCGGATCCAACCACGTGAAATGCACTATGACATGGTTGGATTCATTACAAAAAAAAATTATTCCAAATTTTCATTAAAATAAAATATATTCCGAGAAAAAATGATAATAAAAATATACAATAAATTTTTATTATAATTTTGCCCATCAAATAAATGTTCTGGAAGCTCATTCAATTTTAATAGACAAAATCCAATCTTATACTAACAAGTAATCGATTCTAATTAAACGAGATATTTCCCTGTGAGATTATAAGTAAAAACCAATTTTACGTTAATGATTAATTCTGTGATTAATACTAATACTAAATATAATATTAATTTGTCAATGTTGATCAATGTTAACAACAATACTTAGCTAAACTCTTCCTAGTATTAAACAAATACTCTAATTATTTTCCCCTACTTGCTGCAGGGAGATTAGCGTCAAGGATGAGCCAATCAGGGACCATTCTAGCTAACGGTCGAAAGCAAACACTTGCATATGGGACGTCGGTAAAGTCAAACCTTCACTTCAATTGAGTGGTCAAATTTTAATGATTATTTTTTTCACATTTTTCTGCATTTTTCTCATGTAGCTTTCTGTCCACACACTAAATATCATAATAAATTACAAAATAGAATTTCATGCTAACTAAATCCCTTTAGAAAAAAAATCAATTAAATAGTCAATTTAATGGCTTCAATGTTTCAAATACTTTATCTTCGTAGCAAACAAAATACTTCTTAAGATTCAAATATTTTGACACGAATGTTGAAAATATATAACACATATGTGTCTAACTTTTGTAGGCATATGTTACTCAAGATGATGTTCTTATGACAACCTTAACTGTAAGAGAAGCCTTATACTATTCTGCAGAGCTATTACTTCCTGATGCATTATCCAAGGCTCAGAAGCGAGAGAGAGCAGATACAGTGATGTTAGAGATGGGCTTACAGGATGCCATGAACACAAGAATTGGAGGTCGAAACACGAAAGGCATAAGCGGCGGGCAAAGAAGACGACTTAGCATTTGTATAGAGATTTTGACTCGACCGAAGCTATTATTTCTTGATGAGCCTACAAGCGGGTTGGATAGTGCGGCATCGTACCATGTGATGAGCCGAATAGTGGACCTTGCGCATCGACATGGGAGGACTGTCATTGCTTCTATTCACCAGCCGAGCTCTGAAGTTTTTCATTTATTCGATAGTTTGTGTCTTTTATCATCTGGAGAAACGGTTTATTTTGGCAACATTTCATTGACTAATGAGGTATGTTCATTGCAATATTAAATATTAAGGGGCATTTACATACACATGTATACCAACCAATTCCTATGCATTTACATTTCGTACACTTATACTTTGCCTTTTATGTATAATTATATCACCCAAATTAATCTTTCATATAACATGAAAAATGCATATGTGAGGTGACATATGTGTAAATCTTAAACTTTTGACGTTAGACATGTAAATAGATTGGAATTGAGAGTAGTATGTATGCATGTAATTCTTCCTATTAAATAATAGTTCCTCTGCTAGCTTGGCGTGTGCTTTTTGACTTGAGCTCTTTATTCATTTATTCATCTTTGGATTTAGGTAAAATGAGCCGGTTTTAGATGGTTTCGCAAGCCTTCTTCATAAGTATAGTTTAGTTGCCAGCTTTAGTATTTAAAATTTACAATTATGCTTTAAATTTGGGACACTCATGTAATACTTGATTTATGGTAGAGCTATTAATAATTTGATTTTTAACCAATTTGATTTTGCATATTTCAACTTCATTAGTTTAATATATGTAGGGAAGCATTTATTCAACATCGTGCAGATTGCAGTATGTCGATAAAGTTTTGGACTTTTATTATTGAAATTAAAGACTTGTTTCTATATGTTAAGAAAGTTAATGTTTGTGCTTGGAAAGAAAAAGAAAAAAAATCGAACTTCAATAAAGACTTGTTTCGTGCATACACATATCATAACGAATGACTTATTTATTTCACATTAGCTACATTTCCATAGGAATTTATGCACATATTTGATCTATTGTAGCATGCCTAAGTGGGAAATGTTATTTTAGCGAAAGAGAGAGCGAGATTTTTCATTTAGAAAATTTTGGACTTTTATTATTGAAATTAAAGACTTGTTTCTATATGTTAAGAAAGTTAATGTTTGTGCTTGGAAAGAAAAAGAAAAAAAATCGAACTTCAATAAAGACTTGTTTCGTGCATACACATATCATAACGAATGACTTATTTATTTCACATTAGCTACATTTCCATAGGAATTTATGTACATATTTGATCTATTGTAGCATGCCTAAGTAGAAAATGTTATTTTAGCGAAAGAGAGAGAGAGATTTTTCATTTAGAAATACTTAATTTACATGTTAATTTTAACAAAACTGTTTATATATGCATGCAGTTCTTTGCGTCCAATGGTTTTCCATGCCCACAAATGAAGAACCCTTCTGATCATTTTCTTCAAATAATCAATAAAGACTTCAAAGTGGTTAGTTTCTCGTTGGCACAACTTAGTTGGCACAACTTAGTTGGCAGATGAGCAACACAAGATAACTAATACTACTTCATTCATCTCTCTTTTGCAAATTAAGGTCATTGAAGAAGGAAGCGAAAGTCATCCCACACAGCACACTCCTCATGCAATAAACACACTCATAAAATCATATAAATCTTCTACCATTTTCCAACAAGTGGTGGCGCAAGTAATTCAAAGTAGCAGCATGGTAAGCCTAGCTTTTATATTATAACAAATAAATAATATATATATCATTTTGTAGGCTTATTTTGTCTAATTGTACTTTGGTAGGAAGGAGAAATAGTGAAGAAGGGAAGTCAAGCTGGCTTCATCACTCAATGCTCTGTGCTCACAAGGAGATCATTTACAAATATGTATAGAGATCCAGGCTATTATTGGCTGAGACTAGCTATTTATTTGGCTATCTGTTTGTGCATTGGAACCATCTTTTATGATATTGGCGTTGATTATCAATCAATTCAGGTCATATTTCTCTCATTATCAGTCTTACATGATTCATAAAACAGCATGTTTTATTTCTTCTCTTCCACCTACTCTGGAATAACGTGTATCACACATATATTTTACCGACACAAGAATTTTCATTAAAAACTAATGTTTTTCGCTTAAGCGGTACTCGAATTATTAAACACATGAGGGATGACCAGGGCTCGTATAATAGCATCCGCTCATTCCTTTTGTAATATATATATATATATATATATTCCATGTAGTATTGTAATTTCTAAAAAATCTTGCTAGCAACATCATAGAACCTCTCAAGAGTGTCAAAAAATAGAAAAATAAAATTGATCAATGAGAAATCTGATTTCAAAATATTGGTAGCTATTTATAAAATGATTAACAACTAAGTGATTGCTTCTTAATAACTAGAAGTGTTCAATGTACTGCAAAATGAGTTGTTGATATAATTTTGTCTAACTATGCTAAGAAATTTCAGGCCCGAGGCTCATTGCTCATGTTCGTAGCTGGATACCTTACTTTCATGGCCATTGGCGGGTTTCCTTCTTTCGTGGAGGATCTAAAGGTCAGTCAAATCTAACAATTTTATTATTTAGAATTTGTTTCTCCTTGTAGTATTTTTAATATGAAAATCTATAATTCATGGGCATTAAAATGATTATAAATGGCAGAAAAGCTGATTGCAAGGCTACAGCATTTTATTTGTTTTATGTGTAGATGATTACTCCACTATGGGTGAATTTAAGAAACATTTTGATCCCCTTTGATTGATACTGCATGATTATGACAAGTTCTTTTTTTTTTCTTTTAATAGATTTTTCATCGGGAGAGATTAAATGGGCATTGTAGCCCAACCGCATTCACCATTGCGAACATGCTCTCTTCTATGCCATTTATACTCGTAATATCTGTCTTCCCGGCTGCAATTGCGTACTACATGGTTGGTCTTCAGAGAGACCCGCAACATTTCATATTTTTTGTTCTTGTACTCTACTCAAGCATGTTGCTTGTCGAGGGTCTCATGATGATAGTTGCAAGCATTGTCCCCGACTACCTAATGGGCATTATCACCGGTGCTGCCATACAAGCGATGATGGTCCTTGCTTGTGGCTTTTTCCGTCTGCCTGATGACTTGCCGAAGCCAATATGGAAGTATCCGCTATACTATATTGCATTTCATAAATATGCAAATCAAGCATACTACAAGAATGAATTTTTGGGGCTAAGTTTTAGTGGCATTAGAGGAACAAATTCTTCACTTTCTGGGGAGGAGGTTTTGAGGGATTATTGGCAAATGGAACTTGGCTATTCAAAGTGGGTTGATCTTGCTATCTTGCTTGGAATGGTGGTGGCTTATAGATTATTATTTTGGGTTGCAATTAAAGTTGGTGAGGAAGTAAAGCCCTTGGTGAAGTATTTCATGCTTGGCAAGAGAAGGCATGTCTTAGATTTGTCACCCTCAATTTCAATTGTGGTGACAAACTCAAAAATTTAGAGAAGTATTTTAATTGATATATTCCACTTTATACCTATATTTATAAAAGTGTTATTTTCATGATTCAAATATTTGACTCAATATTGTAATTAACACAACGTAGCATCATTCTTTAGATTCATCCCCTAAAGAATTGAATAGTTTGTAGATATCATATAACTAAACTAATCTATTGCTCACGAATAAATATGTTTTATTGTAATGCACCCCAATTATTTATCTGGAGAGGTTTTTATTCCTTAAATTGTATCAATGTAAAAGATGAAAAGTTTATGGCAAGTTATATGGCTATAATAACTCATGAATGGGTCTTTTTGTATTTTTATTTATGTGTAAAATAAGAAGTTTGTTATTTTGCATATTATTTTTTAAAGCATATGTTGAACTATTATATTGTTTGGTAAATAGAATTTTTTGTAGTAACTCTGAAGTGTCAATTGATTACAGAATGATCTATCCATAAATTAATCCTAAAAAATTATGATAAATTTGTGTTTTAAGGTATGTTATACAACAAAACTTCTCAACTACCTAAAAGTCCTAAGATTTTGTTCTCGCTGCCATCTTTTTGTCCATGACTTGGATGTTTATAAAAGTGTTAAAAATATGAGCATTCATACCTGAAAAACTTTTAACATCACAAATACTACTATTTTATCATACCCTAGAGGTCTCATCAAATATTATGGCATCATTACCCTCTTACTCTTTACCTAGTCATTCTTTTAGTGCATATGCTAGTTTGCAGATTCTAGTATGTTAATCAATATGGTGAACTAAACTATTTTCCTGACTAAAAGATTTGTAATCAAATGCCTATTCAAGCTGTAGAAGATAATGACAATCTAATTACGTATAATTCAAATTTTTGTGGAGATCAAATGATAATAATTATGCCAATAGTTGTACTAACTCATTTGAATCACATCGCAAAATTCATGATCAGATGGAGAAGTTTAGGTTAGAAGTTACTATTCCTCAATTATCATCTCCCCCAGCTAATAATCTTTATTAACTTGTTAATATTGCACATGTTGCTCAACTACTTTCTCATTTTATAGCTAAGAATATCAAATATGAAGGTGACACACAATAAATCTCTTGAATCCTTAGATGAGGCCAGTGTCGGCGACCAAAGTAATATAAGTAGCCTTTACTGTTGCACTGCACTTGCACTTAGATGTTGTGTTAGAACACTTTCGTTAAATGGTGTGCTAGGCTAGGGCTAGAATGTTAATATTTTTTATGTCTAGCTATAGTTCTCTAATGGTTTGGTTGCCCTAGCCAGACATCTTTTTAGTGTGCTTCCTCTTGTGTGTTTATTATAAGTAGACTTGCACACTAGTATATTGATGTGCCTAAACTTATAGGGACATCAGTCGACCATACAATGCAAGTGAACATGTGAAGTAGAAATGCAGTTAGATAGTAACACATATCGATCTCAGAGCAAAAAAATCATCAGTCTATGAATTCGATTAACCTAGCTTTTGAATCCTAAAATGTTAATAAAATAGAATAGATAAAAAATAAAAAAAAAAAATAGAAAAAGTGGGAAAAATCTTTAGAGTTCCTTCAAGATAATGAGGCTCGTATCTCTATGACTCGAGGAACATGGTGATCATGGATTTCCTAAATATTTTTTAGCGTGATTGTTACAAATCAAGGATATGTTACTCCTTGCGCCTATGTTTAAGTCGAAAGAAGCCTAGAACCCATGAAGTTAAGGCTTCCTCAATCCTCATGGCATTTTGTAAGATTATTTTGATCCCAAAACAATTGCAAAATTCCACTAGAATATATCCATTCTCTCATAATTTTATGGTTAACCCTTTTTTTTTTTCCCACCACACAACAGTTAGAAGTTATAGTTTCACATAACATTTTAACATCTTAGTTGGCATGACTAGGGAGTAAACTAATATTGGAGGTTAACTAGCAACATAGGCTAGAAAAGCACAAGAATAGACACTACAGAAAAACATTTCAGAAAATCGTGATAAATACCAATACCCTTACATCATAGAGAATGAAGAAAAGACTAGTCATGCATTGTCGAGAAAACCACTGACACAAAATTCATACAGATCTTCATTTTAAGAAATGAACAATAGTAAAAAATTACAACAAAACTTATCTTCTCCACAAGAATAGAGATCTCACCAAAAACTAATGGTAGAAACTCCCCTCTTGAGGTTTCATCCCAAAATAATGAGTGAAACCTAAGAAGAAAGCTTTCTTTACTCAAACCCCTCTTTTCTTTATAACCTCTAGCCGCCTATGATGCCTTAATTTCAGCATCATGAGTTAATTTATAGGAAAAAATTTGCAAAGGAAAGAAATATCTTACCAAAATAAGTTTTCATATACTAGTATGGATGCGCAACAAATATGGTGCTGGTGCGCTGAGTCTACGGTGCGGGTGCACTGAAGTTTGAACAATCGCGCGGGCATAAGCTTGCAAATTCCAGTGTGGGTGTTTTAGACTAGGTGCGCAAATATTGAACACAACGTAGGCGTGCAGGGGTTAAAGTGGGTGCACAATCTTGGCGATGCAGGTGCATTGGTCCAAAATCATTGTATTGTACTTATTTTCATTCTTTTTCTCTCTAAATTTGTGTTGACTATGTTTCCTGTACAAGTAAGATAAAACATACATTTCTCAAGCATAATATAGTATAATAAGATGTAAAACATGGGAAAATGTGCTGCCAAAATATCACATATGTCATTCTTATCATATCCCTAAAACATACCTATTATATACCTTCAAGTAATTACATAGCTCAGTTGGATTTTAAGAGAAAAAAAATGGAATCTTGGAGTATTCTAAGCTTTTCAATTTGCCTTATGAAGCGTTATGGGAAGAGATAAATATCATTTGAGGATTAATTATATTTAATGATGAAAAACTCAATTCCTTGCCTTAATTTCATTCGTTCTCTTCTTTAAGACATTTTAGTTACTATCAAATTTTGTGTTTGTTTAAGGGATCTTTATCTTACCTCAAGAGTTCTTGAGCATCATTTTTAGAGGGTTAACCAACTTTGATATTACGTAACTTTCTTCCTTGATGTCTGACTTTAGAGAGATTCCATTAAGTACTTGTAATCTCTATTACTTAAGCCCCACTTGACACCTTTACAATTTTCTTTTCCCTTTGAATTTTTTTTGTCCCAACCTCAAGCTTTTTTCTCAGGGCTTTTTACTTTTTGTTTGATGTTTTCTTTTGATTTTAATTTTTGCTTTTCTTTCTCTTTTTTCCTAAAAATTATTATATCTAGTTAACAAATTTTCTTTATTTTTCATAATTAAAGGGGGTGTTTCTTTAGTAATAGATTTTACAATGATAGTTTAATTTCTTCCCCTTAGGTTATACTCAATGTTAAAGTTAAGTTAAAATGAAATTGGTTACTATAAAAAAAAGAAGACTTAAAAACAGTTTTGGTTTTACATTAAATCTTTAAAGTACACTTCATTTAATAGTCTATAAACCATCCTAAGTGAAAGATTAAAGTCGTTAAGTCCTAAAATTCTATTGTTGAACATTAAAATATTTTTCCTTAACGATATTTATCTTTTTCTCAAAAAGATTTTTATATGTAAATTTGAACTGTTAGAATTTTGTTACAAGAGTTACCTCATAAGTATAAATTTGTTACTGAGCAATGTGACATACATTCAGGTTTTCAATAGCTCAAACTTGGTTAATGTCATACATGTTTAACATCCATGTGCTAACTTGTCTAATCATAACATCAAAACAGCAATACGAGGTTAGTCTCAATAATTTTCAATGAAATACAAGATCAGGTAATATTCTTTCAAGGTATATGAAACAAAATAGGAAAAATAGGTCAGCATGTGAGAAGCGATATAAAATTGAAAGCAAACAAAAGAATATCATGTCAAACAAAAAACAATCATCATACATGCAACTACTAGTGAAATTACATAATAAAAAAGCCATAAAGTAATACACCTCAAAGTCTATCATACGCACTACATATTCTAAAAATAAAAAAGCAACACTCCCCCCTAACAACGGTCTACTACTCTGTGGATATCAAGACAACCAAAAAAAGAAAAACACAAACAACACCACATGTAACAAAAAAAATGAACAAGATACTCATAATACAAAATGCAAATCCTAAGGTAGCACTTGGCTTGCCTCCCAAGGAAGCTCTTGGTTTAACGTCCTCAGCCAAACATTGCTGCTGAGCTACCACTTAGACTAGGTCTCCAAAATCTATATGTCACTTAAGTAGTCCTTGATCGTTCATTTCAAATTCAGATTTTCCTGAGGTTTCCAGTAGGGTCATGTTCTTGGTCTATTCCTAAAAATTTCAATCATGTTTAAGCATTGATGTAGGCTTTGCAGCAACCTCTCACTTTCAGCCAGATAATCATTATTGGCTTTGACAGGTAGACTAAGTTCGTCTCCTAATAAGGATGGACTTAGTGGCCTACCAGAAGATTAATATTTTTATTAGCCAAATTCCTCAGAAATTCATTAATTATTCGTTGCTCTTACAAGTGAACATCCTTGGATTAAATAGATTGGATTTTTATCACCCGAGTTACAGTTTCAGTTTTTTGAATTTGATCATTCCTATTAGCTCGTGGATGGTCTAACAATTTTAAGACATTAAATGTAACTTTTTTATCATGTTCTCACAAAATTATTATCCCATCCTGAATATCAATAATAACCCTTCATATGGCTAAGAATCTAAGAATGATCTCCCAAAAATCACATGCATTCCCTTATCAGCTTTTAAACCTTATATTACAAAATTAGCTAGAAAAGTGAATTTATCCACAATGAAAGACAAGCTTTCAACTTTTCTAAGAGAATGAGCCACAAATTGATCTATTAATTGAAGGGTCAAATTTGTAGTCTTGAATCTCATCTTCGTAGTTGTGTGAAAATGTTCAGAGGCATTAGATTGACACTGGCTCCTCGGCCACAGAGTGTTAGTCCTTAAAATTCAGTT